TTTATAAATAAATTTAAAAAGAGTCAAAATCTTAAAATCAATAACTGATTGAAATATCAAAGTCTAAAATTAATCAAAATCTTTTAAAAAAGTTTTTAGCTTGGATTTCAAACTAGATGACAGATTTGTTTCTTTCAAATCACTTCGAAGACTATTTCAGCCTTTCGCAGCTTGATAGAGAAATGTTTGTTTACCCCAGTTAGTTTGAGGAAGGGGTAAACGAAGATCATTGGAACGTCTTGTGTTATATGAATGGACGGCTTGATTTTTGATAAAATTAAAGTTAAATCAGTTTCCCCAATCAGACATTTGTGGATTGTAATGCAGCGGTAAATAAACCTTCTTGCGGAGAGTGACTTGAGATCTAAACTCCTTAGTGCTGGAGTTAAGATCTCAAGTCGCTCTCCTCAAGAAGGTTTTTTCATCGCTGCATTGCAATCCACAAATGTCTGTTTGGGGAAACTGATTTTAACTAAATAATTTTATCAAATATCAAGCTGTCCATTCATCTAACACAAGATGTTCCAATGATCTTTGTTTACCCCTTCCTTGCACATGCCTGACACAAAATCTGCCAGGTTTTATATGAAAGTTGCGATAGTCAGCTTCAGATATTTCCCTCTCTAGCATCAATTGACAGGGTTTCATGGTAATCATGTGTTATTCCTAGCCATGTGTTATTGATGACTGTGGTGAACTGCAACCAGGGGAAGATGATGGCATTTGTGTTGATGATGGAACAGGAGACAAGCTTCCACATTGGCCAAGTGACTCTGATCTGGATTTCAGTAAGGTACTCTCTCAGTTGCAAAATCAATGTAATGGTCTCACTACTCTACTATTATGTCACTTCACCAGGTAATTAACCCAGGGCTCAACACTAACTTTTCAACCTCCAAGTGACAGCTTAGATGTTACAATAATTTCAGTTTGTTTACCAGCCAAACTGCCTAGTGGAAATCGAAAACCACTGGCCAAAACTGAATTTCTACTAGTTTGTGGTTAGGTGGCTACCATTAGTGTTGAGCCTAGTAACCCTTAGACTCTCAAGATCTGATAGTTAATTCTCCCCTCTACCTTTTACACATTTGGTGTAGGATCAAGATTGCAAATTCTACCTGACACATTTGAGTGTTGCCATCACCTGTGTGCTGCATATTTTAGGAAGAAGTTAAATGTGAAATGTTTTTGGGAGTTGAAGGGTTAAGAGAGGCAAAGCAAGCTTAGTACAAAATCATAAGACACTTTTGTTTCTTATCTTGATCGTGTAACTATGACATTGGAAATACAAATAGCATTTCAAGGTGCCCTAAATTTGCTGAAAGTGGAGTTGTTGGTATTTCAGCCAGAAGAAGTATTAGCTGCAGCAGAGGTACTGAAGGGGATAGGAAATGAACAGTTCAAGGCCCAAAAGTACGAACTAGCCAAAAACAAATACACCAAGACACTGCGGTAAGATGAAGTAAAAGCATTATCTCATTAAATTATCATTATCTAATGATCATCTCAAATTTGTTTAGTAAAACAACAGAGAAGTGGCATACTGTAAATCCTCTATTGAGCCGCCCCCCATCGAATAAGCCACCCCCTCTAATAACCCCCCCCTCTATAGAGGAAGAAATTTGTTAAGCCCCTGTGGGGGGGTCAGCTATTAGAGGATTTATGGATTATTGTTGATCAATGACTTTTTCTCTATCCTCCAGCTATCTTAATCACTCTGATTCCGATGGAGAAACAACCTCAAGTGATGAGGAAGTAGAAAAAGCAGAAAAAGTAAAGAAAGAAAATATACAAGAGGAGAAAATACAATCCCTGACAATAAGTTGCCTTTTAAACAGGTGAGATCATGAGCTGAGGACCTGATTTTCTTTATATGAAGCTCGACATTTCCTGATGAATTGCACTTGTCTATATTTATGTTTATCGGCACAAACAATATTTTGGAATAGTCTGCAAATCACAAATTTTCTCTGCCAACAAGAAAATCTTCTCTCAGTTCACATACTGAAATAAAGGAAAAAATTGGTGAAAATAAAAGTATGGATATGGATTTTGTCCAAGGTGGAAAATGCCATTTTTAGTTATATTTTAGAGCATGTAGTTGTACAATTGTCAAGAAAAGGTATCACAGACTTTTGAATTTACTCTGTACAGAGCCTTTTGTCAAATTAAGCTGGGAGACCATGGAGAAGCAGTAGCTGATTGTAATAAGGTACAGTTCATTTGTATAACAAACTGCAAACTTGGAAGTTTGAAATATCTGTCTCATAGCATCCTCGGAGACCCAGGGGCTGAGTCGATTTAAAGTTAGGGCATGAAGAGCCCCTGGGGACATTGTCTTACAAGACTAGTTCCAAACGGTCGCAGTTGTTCTGCCATCTGATTGGTGCCAGAAAATCTCTGTGTTTTTCTGCCCTATCAGAGTAAAGTGTACTTTAGAAACCTTTCATGTGTTTCAACACGGAGATATATCCTGGTAGCTCAGTTGCTTGCTATGTTTGTCTGGACCATGCGACGGAGATTTGCTTGAGGTGAAAAGTTTCAGTCTCAGCAGACAATGTAAGAGAAATTGATCAGATTGTCCGCGAAAATTTTACCAGATATTATACTGAATATTTTCACAGGTATCACTAGAGAAAGTGTTTTCAAGTTTGCGAGGATTGTATACAACACGATGGTTGCAGTCATTGATATGTCCCTTTAAACGTTAAACGAGATTTAAGCTTAAATCTTTCTAGATTTTTTGCATAATTTGCTATGACTGAAAATTTGCCAATCCCGTGAAGTTATTTCGTGGCACGGGCCCCGCAGGTATGTCGAGCAACTGGTACTTGCGTATCTTTCTGTGCGTGCCAAAATCTAATCTAATATTCGCTTGAAAAAAAAGAAAAGCTAAGCGTGGAAACTTTTGTTTATTAGATGTGGGTAGATGACCCTGTACTACTAAGCTGACATTTGCAATAAAGCAAACCCGCCCTTTCCATCCAATATTTCTTGGTCTTTGGTTTTGTTTTTCCCATTGAAAGCAGCATCGGATCGATTCCCAATGATCAAAGGTATTTAACTTGGTCTTCAACAATCGACAGAAGAGGTGAAATGACAATGACCAAGGGACTAGAAGAGAATCCGTGGCCTTCCCAGCTCAAGAATTTCAACACTCTAGGCAGCAGTTGAAAGATTAAACTCTTTCCAAACCACTTCGGTAACTGCCC